ATATCCTGAGAATAAAGAATGCACGAGAGGTTATTTTTATTTTCTTTTTGAGAATGGTCATTGAACCACAGTCTGTTGATGTGTCTTTTTCCCCTCCCACTTTTTTTTAATTTAATTTAATTTTATTTTATTATGTTATGTTAGTCACTGTACAATATATCATTAGTTTTTGATGCAGTGATCCATGATTCATTGTTTTCGTATAACACCCAGTGCTCCATGCAGTATGTGACCTCTGCCTTTACAATGTGGAAATGTGTCCTTTGATTTCTGGGAAAGTTTTTTTGTGTCACTTCTTCAGTAATTTTTCCACTCCATGTTTTCTTTTCCCTCAATTCATGTCAATTGAATGTTGGACTTTCTAGATTAATCTACTTTTTTTTCTTGTTTTTATCTCTTTTGATCTTTTTTCCTTAAGTGTCTAGTGGGGATTTCCTTAAGTGTCTACTGATCCTTGGCTCTCTATTAATATTCAAGGGTGAAGGTGGTTTTTTTTTAAAGATGTATTTATTTATTTGAGAGCGAGAGTGCACACACAGGCATGCACAGGGACAGAGGGAGATGATCTCCAGCAGAATGCTGAGCACCCCCCATGGGGCTTAATCTCCAACCCTGAGACCATGACCTGAGCCGAAATCAAGAGTCAAGTCGCTCAACTGACTGAGCCACGGCGGAGCAAGATGGCGGAGGAGTAGGAGACCTGGATTTCGTCTCCTCTCAGGAATTCAACTGACTGAGCCACTCAGGTGCCCCAAGAATGGAGCATGTTTTTAAAAGCTCACTTGTAGAGTTGTTAATTTGTAGGCCTCACCTTAGGGTGATTGGTGGGTGGTGATTCTTTTACCAGAAATCCGCAAAGTCAGTATCTAGGCGTGTTTTTCCCCACCGGAGACAAATCCTCCAGTTTTCTGTCTGAAGCTTATGAGCCTGGCTGCCAGCATTTTAGCAGTAGGCCTGAACAAGGGTCAGTAGTCTACACTGTTGAGCATGGAGTTTTGAAATTAACTTCTGCAGCACATCTCATCTTGTCCTGTATCAGAAAGTAAACTATCCAAGCAATTTGCCTGCACAGAGTAGTAAAAAGGAGTGGTCTCACTGTTTTTTAATAATGTCTTATTCCATCCTCCTCAGTTTTCAACCCAACCCTTCTCTCCTGCCTTGAGATATATTACCTCTAAATTTCAAGAGGTGTTTTGCAAATTAGCTTTTTTTTTTTTTTTTTTTTAAAGAGAGGGAGCGGTGGGGGGAGCCGTGCGGAGGGAGAGGAAGAGAGAGAATCTTAAGCAGTCTCCATGCCTGGCATGGAGCCCGACACCAGGCTCGGTGTCACGACCAAGATCATGACCTGAGCCAAAATCAAGAGCCGGACGCTTAATGGACTGAGCCACCCAGGCACCCCACAAATTAGCTTTCTTACTGGGAGCTCTACTTTATTTTAGCTGTCATATCACCACACTTTTTTATCTTTTTCCTTTTTCTTCTAGTTTTTATTCCTTATTAACCCATATTTAAACCCTAGTCCCTGATTCCTTTTTCCTTCTGAAACTTCTTCTTGAGTCATCCTGTATGGAAACATTGATTTAAGTAAACTTTTTAAATTAGTAAGCTTTTTCCCTTTTCCATTATAAAAAAGTTATATACCATACCTCAATCACGGTTAGACATTGGTGAATTAATTTCTTTACCTAGAAAGATATTAATATTAAATAATGACCCTTGCTGCTTATAAGAAGTATTAGAAGTACTTAGTTAAAGTAATTTAGTAAATTGGGTCGGTGGGGGGGTGCCGTCACGACCCGGTCTTTCCCTCAGTTTTCCCTCTCTGCCCCTGCTGTGGTTTGCTGCTGAGGTGGCAGAGCTGTCAGGAGGGGCACAAGTGGGCATTTCAAGGACCCAAGATTGCCCAAAGCCACAAAGAAAATGGTGGAAAATGCACCATCCTCATTGCCTCAAAGAGCAATTTATGGCTTTGTTCTTTTTTTTTTTTTTTAAACAAGTTTATTTAAACAACAAAACGCTTAACTTGAAGGGAAAACTATCTAGGAATCATTTCTTTTAGAGTAATTTATCCCTACTTAAAGACAGATTGCCCTACATGTAACTGCTACATACAAAATAAAATTGTCCTTGGTTTTACAATGATAAATGAAAAACATTAAAATTTTCCAATCAAACAAGGTATGCAAGGATTTTTATGTTCTTTTTTTTGTTAAACAGAGGAAAATAACTTACTGGAATATGAAGATAAGAGCTGACTGAGCATGCCACTAACGGAGAGAGGGGGTATTTTCACAGAAGCAGTATTTTCCCCCATCCCATCTCCATTTGGTGTTTATCAAAACATACCATTGGCCATTTAGTTAAAAAAAAAATGCGATATGCTTGTGCACGTACACAGTTACTTTATGTACAATAAAGGAATGGGGAAGGGGAAAATGAAAGAATAGAGGAAACTACACTGCAGTAGTCAGGATGTGGTGGAACCAAATAGCTGCTTTCTAATTGAGAATGTCTTCTTGGTCTGGAGGAACAGAGTTCTGGAATAAAGTAGCAGGTTCCCCTTTTTGTAGACACCTATCTGCTGCTGGAACACATCAATTATATCTTCATCCTCCATTTCCAACTGTGCAGGTGTGTCTGTTTCATTGATTGGCTGCCCATCAAATCGGAATCTGATCTGCCTCATTGACAAACCCTGTCGTTCACAAGAGGCTTTCATTAGATTACTAAGTGGTGTGTGCCTCTTAATCGTAAACTGCACCACAGAACCATCCTGCCCCGCCGCCTTAAAATTAATATGATCGTTGTTCTCAGTCTTGATGCCTTCCTTGGGTTTTTCGTCGGCCGCGGCGAGCGCTGGAGTCCCTCAGCTGCCGCTTCACAAAAGAGGTACCAGGTCCACACTGAACGAGCACACAAGCGGCACCAGGAGCAGCAGAAGAAGCTATGGCTTTGTTCTTTTCTTAAGCTCCCAATTTGGCTCCATACTACATTTTTGTGTGGGCTTTTATTCCTGAGTTTTGGCTAACCTCCTTAGGCTAAACCTATTGGCCTCAAAAATATAGGGCAGATGCATTGCCTCTCTATCTCCTCATTACTAACGTGATCAGTCATTTACTCTTATTTGGAATAAACATGATGAGTACCTCTGTCCACTCAAGTCCATTCATACAACCACACATAATTATGCTAAAAATCAGTAGCAGAAGAGATACCAAAAAGAAGCCATCCCAGCATTAAACAGATATTCCTGTTTTATTTATTAGTGAAGTAAACCAAAATGTTCTTTCTTGTAGCGAAAGAACTTTATGCCAAAAACTGAACAGTATGTAGACTAATACCAAGCATTAATTATAAGGTTTTTAACCTAATAATTTTGGCCATATTTTGTTTTTGTTTTAAAGATTTATTTATTTGAGGGAGAAAGAGTGAGAGCGGGAGGGAGGGGCAGAGGGAGAGAGAGTTTTAAGCAGACTCTACCCTGAGCATGGAGCCTGACACAGGGCTCAATCTCACAAACCTGAGGACACAACCTGAGCCAAAACCAAGAGTTGGACTCTCAACCAACTGCGCCACCAAGGCACCCTATATTTTGACTTTTTTATAATACCCAATACTGAAATGTAAAAAAAGTAGAACTTCTCTTAAAGTTCCATGAATATTATAAATGTTCTCAAATATTAGTTATTAATGGACAGAATAAAATACTACATTACTGTAAAAAAAAGTAATTAGTAAATTTAAAAAGAACTCCCGATTTTTTCTCATTACCTCTTCCTTATAACATACATTTCCCCCTTACAATAAATCAAATATATGATTGTGTTAACCTACTGGTTTCATATGGTGTGTTCTCTTTCTGTTTTAATGGCTGAATAATATACCATTATATGGATGTATCCCTTTTTTTTTAAATCAATTCTGCTATTTCTGGCTATTTAGGTTTTTTTAAATTATTATCACAATGAATATCTCATTGCTTCCTCTTTGTGTGAATCCTTCCTTAATTCCTTCTTTAGGATGCAGCCTCACAAATGACATTGTTGGCTCAATAGATACATTTTAAAAAATCTGTTCCTGCCTTGGCCTTTGTAGGTTGAAATTTTCATTTATTTATTCCATTAGTGTATTGTTATTGTAGCAGTCGCTTTGTTTTTTTCTATCTGCATTTGATCATGTCCATTTCTTATTTTTCTTTTATATATTATTCTTTTGATAGATTTCATCTCTTACTGTGAATTTTTTTCCCACAATTCTTATTTTGTCATTTTTGCTTTTCTGGAATCTTCTTTAATGTTACTTTTATATGATGATCTGAAATTGATTATTTCATGTTACTTTGGTAGCACTTAATCCCTGACGTGTTCTGTTTCTGTACCCTTTTTACATTTCTAATAAAAATGATGAGTACAGTCCTTTTTTTTTTTTTTTTTGGAATTCTAGCCAAAGAGCAATGAATAACTTGGGAAATATGTATAAAACTATAGATTACCCCATTACAGTGATGTCACCAAGAATGATTTCAAATTATTTACATTGTCCTAGTCCCTGCCACCCAAACACCAGTTATTTAAGCTCTCTTATCTTAACTTTCTTTTCTATTCATTCCCGTCATGTTTTCTTACAAAACTTCTGGTGCTGTGTTACTGGCAGTGAAACCAGAGGTTGTAGATGAAATCTGCTATTCTTCCCCCTGATGTTACAAAAGTAAACTATCAAGGGTTTTTAAGAGTGACTTATTTTTATGCAAGGTAAAGTAATATGATGAGCATGATGAGTGAATAAAAGAAAATAGGTTTCAAATAAAGGGTTTTATTAGTTTCAGTTTTGTAGTATTGATATTTTCAGGTTTTAAATTGTACTCTGGATTGAAACGATATTTCAGTTGTCTTATTTACTTTTTTATTCACTAATTAACTGCATTCATGAAATTGGTTTCTAATTTTGTTTAAATAGTCCACTTTTTAATGTAGTCTAAAATAATACTTATTCTTTTATAGAGGTTGTTTGTTTTATGGTCCACCTGGAACTGGAAAAACTCTGGTTGCCAGAGCACTTGCCAATGAGTGCAGTCAAGGGGATAAGAGAGTAGCATTCTTCATGAGGAAAGGTGCTGATTGTCTGAGTAAATGGGTAGGAGAGTCTGAAAGACAACTACGATTACTATTTGATCAGGTATGATATTAAAATTACCTACACAGACCTATAATCAATGTAGATGTAAGTATGTAAGGATTAGATAAGTCTTGTATTTAATCATGTTTCATAGAAATAAACTCCGAAGAATTAGAACAAATACATACTCTTTATGGATTATTTTCCTTTGTATGTCAAGATAATACTGACCTATGATGAACAGTTTTATAGGAAAAAGACAAAGGAATAATTGGATCTAAGTTCTTTGGAGTCGTAGGTCTCATATCTAGAGAGAGACTGAACTCTCATACTTAGCAGTAGTGAATTGTCTCATTATGTGAGTTGAAAATAAGTTCTGCCCTAGAGTGACTTTCATTTTTATATCCCAGATTGTATTGACAGCACATTGTGAGATAATACATTCTGATCTACTGAGGCATATTGCTGCAAATGCTTTTAAATCGCTTTATAGAACTCACTGAGTTTCTTTGCCTTTATTGAAATAGACTTTTTAAAAAAAAAACAAAACTATGGCATCTTGCTAAATGTTTTCCCATCCTGACCGGGAGGAAGGCTATGTCCTTGTCTTCTGGGCTTCCTCTTGTTTCAACAGTTGGTCTTGAATAGATAATTTTATGTGTCCCAATAACTATAGTTACATGAAACCTAAGGTATATGACCAGTATTTTGAATATTTCCAATTGAGAATGCAAATAAAATTAAATTGTTTATATTAATATTTTAGTTTGGATCCTCAAAATATAGTTCTTGGATTTACATTTAGATTTATAAATTATTAATAAATTCTTGTAAGCAAGTTGGAATGAAAATGTATTAAAATGGCTCATATTAAGTCTATATATTTGAAGTTACTCATGATAACATGCAAACACTGGACCTGTTTTCTAGGCTTATCAGATGCGCCCATCCATTATTTTTTTCGATGAAATCGATGGTCTGGCACCAGTACGATCAAGCAGGCAAGATCAAATTCACAGGTAAACCTTGCTTGATGGCACTTCTGCCTTTCTTCTTGTACTCTGAGCTGTAATGATGTGGCATGAGGAATAGAATGTTAAATAGTGAAAGATACTTTACAAACCAATAGTTTCCTTATTTTGGTAGAACCCTAATATATAGTACAAAAAGAAAAAATGGACCTGTTCTACATGGCAAGGTGTTCACAGGCACAGTATCAAAATATTGGTTACAGGTTTAATTCATGAAACAAACTTAAAAGCCCACTGGCCAATGAGGTATAAGGCAAATGAAATGAGTGAGGCAGGCCTATAGGTAGAGTGGGGCCAAGGTTGGGAATGTGGTTGAGCGCTAATCCTAAGAGTGCAGCCAGTTGTTTTTAGCCCCAACCTGTTAACTGAAGTGCGGAAGCTGACTCAGACTTGAAAAATGAATTTGTTCTCTTTCTTAAATGTTATGTTCAAATTTTTGTGTTAAGTATCTTTTAAACGTTGCCAACTAATTCAGGTATTTTTAAGACACTGCCTTTACCAAACAAAATATGTCTTAGTGCATGACTACTAGTTTGAGATTCAAAGATTAGGCCAACTTTTCCATTTTTAAGATGGGAAATTTGCACCTCCTCTGTGACAAGCTGACTGCCCAAGGTGGGGCACTTGCCCCTGCCTCAGCTTGAATCTAAATTACTTTTAATCCTCATTCCTCTTCAGTTTTTCAAAACTTCTTTTCAGTTGGTCTCATGTATTATCCATAATTGCTTAATTGGGATACCCTAAAGCAGATGTTTGCATGCCTTCATATATTCCAGTATAGTTTTTTTATTGTGAATAATATAAAAAGAAACAAGACATAATAATGTGAGTGACAGATAGGTTTTTATTTTTCTAATACCTAACAATATTTACTGTAGTCTGGTGGCCTTCTTTGACTTGATGCTACGCAATTTCATTTGTTGCTCTCAGTAAATTAAAATGTTAAATGCTATGGTAAAAATAGTTGCGTCTGTAATACCCTACCAGTAATCATACAAACTTTTTATACATGGCACATGTCATCATCAGCCATACTGTATTCATTGTGTTAAACTAATTGAGTGCTTACTGTGTTTTGGAATAGTTCTAAAAGGAATTGGAGAAAATGATAGCACAATTTGGGAAGCACATGCCATCTTAAATACATACATATATTTTTTATTGAAGGATGGTTGACATACAGTGTTATTTGTTTAAGGTGTAAAACATAGTGATTCAGCAATTCTGTACATTAAGCTGTGCTCATACCAGGATAAGTGTATTTACCATCTGTCACCATACAACATTATTACAATATTGACTATATTCCCCATGCTGTACTTTTCATCCTCATGACTTATTTTATAACTGTAAGTTTGTGCCTCTTAATCTCCTTCACCCATCTTGCTCATCTCCCAACCCCCTTCCCTCTGGCAACGACCAGTTTATTCTCTGTATTTATGGTTCCGTTTCTGGTTTTTTGTTTGTTTTGTTTTTAGATTCCACATATAACTGAAATCATGGTAGTTGCCTTTATCTGACTTACTTCTCTAGGTCAATCTATGTTGTGGCAAATGGCAAGATCCCATTCTTTTTTATGGCTGAGTAATACTCCATTGTATACGTATATAGCACCTCTTCTTTACCCATCCATCGTCTATTGATGCACAGTGAGGTTGCTTTCATACTTTGGCTATTGTAAATAATGCTGTAATAAACATAGAGGTACATATATATTTTTGAATTAGTGGGATTTTGGGGAGGATAAATAACCAGTAGTGGAATTATTGGATTAAATGGGGGGGTATTTTTATTTTTTAACCTTTTTTTTTTTTTTTAAGATTTTATTTATTTGACAGAGACACAGCGAGAGAGGGAACACAAGCAGACGGAGTGAGAGGGGGAGAAACAAGCTTCCCGCCAAGCAGGATGCGGGGCTCGATCCCAGGACCCCGGGATCATGACCTGAGCTGAAGGCAGACACTTAATGACTGAGCCATCCAGGCGCCCCTATTTTTTTAACTTTTTGTGGAACCTCTGTACTATTTTCCATAGTGGCTGAACCAGTTTACATTCTAAGTTACAGTGCATGAGGGTTTTCTTTTCTCCACATCCTTGCCAACACTTACTATTTCTTGTCTTTTGATATTAGCCATTCTGACAGGTATAAGATGATATCTCATTGTGGTTTTGATTTGCATTTCCCTGATGATTAGTGATGTTGACCATATTTTCATGTGTCGGCTATCTGTATGTCTTCTTAGGGAAAATGTCTATTCTTTCAAAGAATGTGCTCTTCCCATTTTTTAACCAGATTATTTGGATTTTTTTGGTGTTGAGTTGTATAGTTCTTTATATGTTTTGGATATTAACACCTTATCAGATATATCATTTGGAAATATCGTTTTCTATTCAGTGGGTTGCCTTTTTGTTTTGTTGATAGCTTCCTTTGCTTTCCACATCTTTTTATTTTGGTGTATTCCCAATAGTTCAATTTTGCTTTGGTTTCTTTCGGCTGAGGAGACAAATCTAGAAAAATATTGCTAAGGCTGACATCCAAGAAATTACTCCCTATGTTTTCTTTAAGGAGTTTTATGGTTTCTGGTCTCACACTTAGGTCTTTTTTCCATTTGAGTTTATTTTTGTGAATGGTGTAAGAAAGTGGTCCAGTTTCAAAGTTTGCCAAAGCAGTCCTGAGAAAGAGCAAAGTTGGAGGTATCACAGTCCCAGATTTCAGAATATGCTACAAAGCTATGGTAATCAGAACAGTATGGCACTGGCACAAAAATAGATGAACAGAACAGGATAGAGAGCCCAGAAATAAACCCACGCTATAGGGTCAATTAATCTGTGACAGAGGAGGCAGAAATATGCAGTGGAGACTAACTGTATGTAAGAATATAGGATAGACAGTCTCTTCAATAAATGGTATTAGGCAAACCAGGTCGCTACTTTCATTCATATATATATATATATATATATGTATGTATGTATGTATATATATATGTATGAAACTTAGTGTGTGCAAGTTTTGGTTTGGGTTTTTTTTAACCAAAGACTTAAACAATCTGAGCATAAACATTTTTGTTAAATTAAGCATTTTTAAAAGTTACATGATTAAACTGTGTTTTTTATTTGTTAGTAATAATACGGTAAGATAATGCAAATAAGCAAGTTTGTGAATGCCTTAGAAATACGATTTTTAGCCTAAGAGAAAGAGGATATAAATATAAAATAAGTTAAATTAAAACCTTAAAATCTTGGGGGGCCTGGGTGGCTCAGTCGTTAAGCATCTGCCTTCGGCTCAGGTCATGATCCCAGGGTCCTGGGATCGAGCCCCGCATCAGGCTCCCTGCTCTGTGGGAAGCCTGCTTCTCCCTCTCCCACTCTCCCTGCTTGTGTTCCCTCTTGCTGTGTCTCTCTCTGTCAAATAAATAAATAAAATCTTA